GACGGGCGGGCAGGGTCGGCTGGCGGGAGCCGGCGGTCCGCGGGCTGCGGTGCGGTGCGAGCCCGCCGAGGGGCACGGTCCCGCCCGCGCTCTCCCAGGCGCGAACAAAGAAGCCGCGGGGCTGGTCTGGGGCGGTCCCGGCCGCGGAGGCTTGTTGCGTCCCCGGCGTGTGCATCCCCGGTCCTCGTACCTGGTGCGGCGGGGTCACCGGTGTGTCTGGTCTCCGCTTGCAGATACCCAGCGAGCCCTGCGCCTCCTGGAGGAATACCGCTCCAAGCTGAGCCAGGCGGAGGACCGGCAGCTGCGAAACTCCATAGAGCGTGTCATCAGCATCTTCCAAAGTAACCTTTTCCAGGCTTTGATAGGTAAAGGCTGACTTCTCTCAAGTCTTCTCTCTGGCTTCTGCTCAAGCCGGTCGGTTCTCGCTTATGCTGTCACTTGCAGTGTTAAGAAGAAAAGGTGTTTTGCCCTTATGTTAGAAGCCATGTGCTTTTTGTCGTTGTGGTGGTGTTTTGCGTAGTAATACACGTGCTGTTACAGATCAACAGTTCGCTGGTTTCATATGCTTAGTTTATTTGAGGCTTTTGGGCCAGGCTGCTTAAAACTGTGGTGCAACTTTTTCTTCTGTGGCATGTTATTGTAGATTACTTCAGACTGTTTTTCCACATATCTTTTACTTACCTGAACAATTTCTAAGGAGTGGTGTTTGGTTGTTTTTGTTTTTTTTTTTTTTTTTTGTGAGTCCACATGTGACAGGTTAATGAATTGAAATAGTTTTACTCTAAGGTTGGATTCAGGCAAATGTTCATGCTGAAGATTCTCTAAAAACATCACAAAGTGTTTATCTGAGTACAAACTTAAACTCAATGAGAAGAAACCTCTAATGCTTCAGGGAATACTACAGTGATCTCTTCTCCTTTGTTTGTTGCATATTAAAGTGTAGTGAAAACACTACTAGTTCTTAGAGTACTTGTAGTGCTTCACTTAAAATGTTCCCGTAAGTCTTGTTGAACTACTTACATGTAACTTTTAATTTCCTGCATGTTTGTTTGGAAGAAAAATTGAGTATAGATACAACTTGCAGAATCTTGACTTTATTTGGGAACTTCTGTAGCAAAGTGGTGAGATGTGGTTTCTCCTTGACTGATTTTTCACTATCTTTATGAGAGCTAATGAATGAAAGGGTTTTGTTAGTTTACCTTAAAGATTAAATTTGTAGAGTTCTGCATCCTTTTCTTTTAACAGAGTAACCTGTGTCTGAATTGTACTAATAACAAACACTGTAGCTGATTTTGTTATTTGGCTTACTGTATGATTAGTGTCATGTAGGTGTACATCTTACTTCATAGAACTGCAACTTCTTTGAATCTATGTTGTGGTGGAAACACAGGGACAGGCAAAACATAAACATGCATTGCTGCATGTGGAATGTTTTTTTCTGGAGCATTTATTTCATCATCTTGTGTAGGTTTTCAGAAGATCGTAATCTTGCATGAGGTTTTTTAAATCATATAATTTCATGAAAGGTAGTTATGAAAATAGGTTTGTTACAGAAATCTTTTACTTAACGAAGTCTGTGCATTTCTCTTCAATACTTGGTTGATGCTAACCAACTCCATGATGAAAAGCTAGACATAATCTTTGTGGGACGTGTATGAACAGGATTCGCTTATTGGTGAATCAGAATGTTGATGCCTTATATCAGAAGCTTAATGTACTGCAGTTGTGCTTTTTATTTTTAGCTGGCAAACTTCAATGTTAGCTACCATTTTTCTTGTTCTGGGTGTGTGTATGAGTGTGTGTGTGTGTTTTGTTTTGTTTTTTTTTTTTTTAACTCTCTTGAGGATCCGTGCAGTATTTCATTTTCTCCCATTTATTGAATAAGATACCGATCTGTTAGCCTTTGATATTCTAACCTGCAAGACGTAGTTTCTTCTCATATCCACATAAGGATCTTCATGGTTTTAATAACTCTACACCTAGTAGTAGTAAACTTGAAACAGCAGGCAACCTCATGTCTGCTGGCTTCATTCTGCAAGAGCAGAAAATGGGAATGTGTTGTTGCCGGTGTGGGCTACATGGCCTGTTTTCTGGTCTTGTAAGAAGTTGTACGTTGCAACCATATAACCCTAGTTTTTGTCGAGTTCAATTCATCTGTGAGTGCACAATAGGTGTCATGCTTCTTGGGTATGTTGCATTAACTTTGCAGGTACTGGTTCACTGTATGATCATTTATTACAGAGTGTGTGCATGTGTTCCCAAACTGTTTGTCTGAAAGGTGATAACACAGAAGGCTAGTACTTTCCAAGCAATTTATGCTGTGAACTTGAGTCTTCCTCCTTTAGCCTGCTCCTTTCCATGGAAATACATCGGGGGAGTTCTTGTTTGTGGCAGGCTGCTCCTGGCTATTGTTTTCCTGGAAACATCTTTTTATAGTGTGACTACTGCATGATGGGGTAAAGAGTAGGGGGACTCCCTGGAAAAGATGTGATCTGGAGGGTGGCTCCATTTGCTGGGAAGACCTTGAGCCTGTTCCTGCCTGTCCTCTTTCCATGAAGATCTGGGAGCAGGCTGGATGAAATATTCAGTTGTGCTGCAGGTTAGGCTTACTGGGAATGTTGAATTTCACATTACTTCAAGGTTGATTTTTTTAAGTGTGCATTTTAGAGAAGTTATGACATGTTCCCAACTTAAATAGCCAATACTGTTCTGACAGAAAGTTTCAAGCTCAACTACCAAGTTATTTCTCCTATCGATACTTCTTCCAGAAGCATGATACTTCTAGTTTTGTTTTTTTTATAAAATAATACTAAAAAAGAAAAATAACTTCATCCATATATTTTCTGCTTTTTCTGCCAAGTTACCTCTATCCAAAACCTGCCTGTCCATGGTAGGTGAGAATGTTTGTGAAGGCTGCAGTCAGGATCTGTAGTCAACTTCATGTATTTTTTTTAGTATAATTTTTAACTTGGCAATCAAATGCTCTTCTTCCAAGCAATAAATAGACATTACTTTATGCACAGAAATATATCTTTGGGTTTATAATGGGGGAAGTCAGATATTCCTGAAAACTGCAGATTTTATCAATATTTCACATGTTTAGGTACACATGAAGGAATTAAAGGTTAATTTTTTTTCTTCTGAATTTTCATTTGGATGCTGAAGAATAAATGGTATTATTTTCTCATTTGAGCCTTTTTTTATGTTGTCCTCTCCTTTTAATTCTATCAATAAGATATAAGTTCAGCAATCTACAAACTTGACCTGGTTCTTAAATATATAATTATGGCTTTAAATTATTTGAATGAGAGCAATAACTAGTCAGTATGAACAACCAGTGTTATGAAATTGACAGCACAATAGTGTTATATTTTAAATGAAATAACTGTAAGAGCTTCAAATTAGTAACAAAACTGGTAACCAATTGTGACCTCCTTAAAACAGTCTGTGAAAAAGCCAATTTTTTATTTTCTATGTCTTCTGTAATGTGGTATTTCCCATTGCCGTTGCTTCAGCCAGTCAAGTGTAATTATGTCTAGTACTTTAATTAAATGAATACCAATGGCCTGTAATTAAAATCAGCTTGAGAATAAAGTCAGTTTTATGTAAATTTCCTATTGTACAGTCTCAGAATTGTGTGGTATCTTTTTTAGCTTATGATTTCTTGGTTGTAGTTGTTAGTGATGTTCTGATAATTGGTAAGGTGAATCAGTTTATTGAGAGACCAAAGATCTTCACATATGGGAGCATGAGATAGACTTAATTTCAGTTTGGTAGAGTTTGGTATTTATCTTCAAATAGTAAGGTAGTAATTCTGCAGATAAGTTCTGCTTCTAATTTAGGCACTCTTTTACTTTCTTGTAAAGGTATTTATCTTTTTGGTAATGTAAGAGGGGAACACTTGCATGCCCAAGTCTAACACTTTTGAGGGAAAAACATGTGAAGCAGACTTCTGTTTATACATAGAATCTTTTTGTGTAATTAAAGTCTGTTTTTAATGGGTTCTGTGCTGCAGTCGACTATTAAAATAGTCTTCTAAAATTAAAAATATTACTAGTTATAGCTAGAAACATGAGGTAGTTTACTTTAAAAATATTCCTTTTCCTGACAATAACTAAATCCATTTGCACAGGTGTCAGAAAAAGGGAATTCTAAGAGTCTCTACATACCCTGGCAAAGGAGTTGGCTGTGCTGTCTTTCTTGCCTTGTCTGTCTTCAGTGTTTTTTTTTTAATATATTATTTTAAATATTATTTATATATATAAAGACTTTTTAGTATAAAATGACCCAAAGTTGGTACCCTTTGGAGTAGACTGACCATGTTCCTGCTAGATGGCATGTGGCCCCAGTTCTCTGAGCTGCGTGTGGCATCTCTGTAGACATTCTTGCTCTTTTAGCTCCCTTTCAATTAGCCAGTGTGGAAATATTTTCTGTACTTGCTGGCTAAATTGAAATCAAATGCAGTTAAAGCAAAAGCACTTCTTCATAACTGAAACCAAAAGTACTTGCTGTTGGGGAAACTTCATTATCAGCTTTTATTTCAGTGATATAGTTAGTTAATAGAGCATGTGGCATGATGACACAGCTAACTTCTCAAATCAGCTTGGGCCTCAGAGAGAATTTTAGTTGTGGCTATGTGTCATTGTGTAAGACTGCCCTTCAGTTAACTCAAGGAAGGCTACTTTGTGAACTGCTTCCCATTTTCTAAATGTTACTGAGGCCCTAGTACAAGTTCTTTCAGACTCAGTTGAATAATATTTACATTAAGAATCCAGAGATTCTTGACAGTAAGTTGAGGATCTGGTTAGTCAGTGAATATTGTTTTTTTTGGTTTTTTTTTTTTTTTAATTAGAGGAAAGTTTAGAGAGAATTGGACCTTCTGTTACATTGGATACTACTAAGTTGTAGATGCTAAATAGGGTATTTATACATTGAAATCTTACCCGTGGTGCATTTCTGTGAATTTTTTTCCCAGATTGCAACTTCTGTTATATAGCATCTTTGCTCATATTTGAGGCTGAAACATCCTTGGAATATAGTTCTTGCGACTTTGAGGTCTTTGCTTTTTGGACAAGTTTCCTAAGGATATACTATGGTTATGCTTACTATGGTCTCCTTCCGAAACTTACGCAAAAGTTGGTTTCAGAGAGGTTTGACCTAGGGTTGTGTTTTCAAAGGTAGTTAAGTACTTGATTATTTAAATGTGTTTTTCTTTATCCAGACTGAGGGAAGAGAAAACATTTTAACTGGTGTCCAGATGGAGTGTTAACTCAGTCATTGTTAGTATGCTTCTGCCATGTAGTTTGTCATTGCTTCAGAATGTCCCAGTTTTTGGAAGAACTTCACATCTTCCTCTTCAAGGAAC